TGTGGGGGGGGGGGGGGGGGGGAAGGGCGCAAAGGGCAGAGGGAGCCTCCGCTCCGCGGGAAGCGGCGGGCGGGCCCTCGGCTCCGGTGCGGAGCTGGAGGACCACGACTCCCAGCAAGCACTGGCCTCAGCCGCCTACCGCGGCGGACCGCTGAGGGGCGCTTTGCACCCTGGGAGATGCAGTCTTCCCTCTCCGCACGCGGGCGGCGCGCTGCACACCGGGAGCTGTAGTCCGGGGAGGACAACCTGCCCCAAAATGGTCTCGAGTAACTAACTGGTAGCGTTTTCGACTAATTCCTTCGGGGATAAAGGAACGTTCAAAGATGGCAGGAATAGACATTTGGAACCCTCCACTGTGTTGCTGCTTTTACTTTTGTTTTTTTTTTTTTGGGGGGGGGGGGGGACGGGACAAATATCTTTAAGTAAATTGTCTGCAGTACAGGCCCTGCCTTGGAGAGGAGGGTATGTGCTCATGCTTAGGCAAGACCTTGTATATTTAATATGCTCAGCTACAAGTATCCTCATACTGTAAGCTTGCCAGTTTCCAATACTTTAAGTACTACTCTTAACAATACAAGCTAGTGGCAAGGGACTCACAGAAACACACAGACAGAAAAAAAAGGCTCCCCCCCCCTCCCCATACAACCTTTACAGGCAACATATTATTTACATGAGTCGCTATACCTAGAAATAAAGTTCCATTTTGCCCTTGACTGCAAGGGCAGAAACAGGGCGGACCACGAGAGCAGCTATTTGACCTTGTGTTAGACATAGCACGTTCCCTGTTGAATCAGCATAAAAAGTTGCTCAAGTTCTATCCCCCTTTCCAAAACATAATTGTTACAGGATGGGTCCCATAAGAAAACAGATAATGGAATGGCACATATACATGAACAGGAGAATGTGGAGATGAAGCATCTTAGCTGGTATAGCCATATGTAAGCATCACCTCTGAATGCCAGATTCTACAAAAGCCAAGGTAAAATAAGCCTGGTTGACTTACAGCTTGAATGTAAATGTTAAATTCAGCCTCCTCATTTTAATCTTTAAATTTATGTATATACTCACACAGATGTGCGTGCTTAGATATTACTCAGGCTTTAAAGAACAGTTGCATGCTGCTGAGATCTCCTCCTCAAAGTCAAGTGGAACTGAACATTTAGCTCAAACTGCATTAGCAAGAAAATATCTGCATACAGCCAATATAGTCTTGGACCAGAAATTGGATGAAAAATGAAACTAAGCACGTTTTAGAGCTGTCCCATTACGTAATATGCTTCATTAAACACATCGATCAAGTTTGACATTCACATCACAGTCCAATATCTTACCTTTCTCAGCAATGGTTGTGTCATCCCTCCCTTTCTCTTTACTAAAAGGAAAGGTGTGCTAGTATCAAATTAAAGAAGAAAACAAGTTCAGTATTCATCACCTTTAGTTATGAACCATACCTCCAATCTCTTATTTAAAAAAAAAAAAAATAAATCACATTTCAAGACAGGCAAAACAAAGCAAATGCTCCATTTCTGACTTGTCATAATTAGTTCTCTGACATCTCTTAACTAGTTCTAGAGGTTGGCCCAAAAGACAACTTAACATAAAGACAAGACCTTAGAGAAAAAAAGTCTTTATTATTAACCAGGTTTTTGCACCGGATTATGTGCCTATTGGCCCAGACCGCTAAATAACATCTACACAATGTTTCTTTCATGTTTCAAGAATTGAAAATAACTGTACAAGGTTAAAGTACAAAAGTACACAAGACAGTGGACACGAAATATCCATGTATGAGTTTACCCCATCTGCTGCTTGGTTTGAAAAGTAGAACTTTAAACTAAAAAATACTGTCCTTCTATAGTTCTGTCAAGTTTAATGGAAGTGGGTATAACCTGATTACAACACTAACACCAGTATCACTGATCTGATATTTACAAAAAAAATTGTATTTTTCAATAAATTAAAGTCAATGCAACACCCATGCAAGCTAGAATGCTAGCTTTTTGGTGAACAAGGACCCAACATTTGAACAAGAATCTTCCATAGTCCCAAACTTTAAAAATCACTTTTTTCCTCAAACCGCATCCATTCCTCGCATTGAAGATGTAAACCCCAATCCCATTCCTCTTTGCGTATGAGTCTGTGATCTTGCCATTTCATACTGTGCATCTAGATTTCTGAAGACTTCTTCCTGTTGTTTCAGAGTTTTGTAACTCTCTTCATCAACTGAACTACAGCCAGCTTCATCCTCACTCTAGAAAAAGGAAAGAAGAAAATATTAACTTTGTAGGAAATGGTCTTTTCATATATTATAGGCGTTCTAAACTCTCAACCAATTTTGCTTTGCCGTTTTCAAAGGCTGACAGGACTTCAAGTCTCTGGGCTTTACTGCTGTAGCATTCTAATGTGGTTTCTTATCATGGTCAACAAACATTTAGAGTCCTTCCCCGCATCCCGTTTTCCAATTCATTCAAATAAATCTCTCCAGTTAAGAAGATATGCAGTTACTAAGCATGACCTTTTATCAGAAATGAGTGAAAGTTACCGCTAGTGTTGTTACAGATTGGAACAGATGCCTTGTTAACCAGAAACACCATGAAATGCTGCAATTTGAACTGAATGCTGCTTGTGAGCTTAAGTCAGCAATAATAGAAGTTTAATTAGATCAGCTTGTTTCAGGTTAACTTTTAACCTAAGTTTTGTTAATATACACTTAACAAACCTATCCTGCAATTATTAATAAACCTAATTACACATGCAGAACTCTTTACCTTAATGCCCATCAGTTTTCTGAATTTGACATTTTGGTCCTTGTTTCCAAAATTCAATTTTTCCCATATTTCTGCAGACTGTGATTTATCCTGCAAGAACCAAGATAGATAGATAGATAGATAGATATCAACTTTTTACATAGGTTTCCACTAAAAATGCAACGTAGTTGCAAGCAAATAAAGCCATACTGTGAATGAACCCATTGTGCAATTTTAACACAGCTGGAAGGATCCCATAAAGAAGCATCCAGGTCACGTCTGACATTCCTTGATGTGGAAGTGCTGTGGCACTCCCCAAAGAAACGCTTTCTGAGGGAAGTTTGCTTAACTACCTGTTTCAAAATGGTGGTATATTCTTTACTCAGGTAGAATATAATTCCCATAAAGTTTGGAAACCATGTCAGAATTCATACTTAAAGTGAATTACAGAAACAAGTATTTTTTTTTCTTACAGTTGAGAGTGAGACATAGTCAGGAGGAACTGCTTAGACAGCATTCAGGTTTCTTCTCCCCTCCTATCAGTGCCACATAAGCCAGTTTCAGTTTTTCACATCTTATGAAAGAGTCAAAAGCTAACCAAGCTTGTTATATAATGGTCATGCGATTATAATACTATAACAACATGATTCCATACTAGCATACAGGGCTGAGACAGAACACTAATATTAATTATCAATTTTTCCATGACACCTCCAGGTGAAAACTCTGCTGAAACCCAGAGTTATTGTCTGAAAAAGCAACTGCCACAGAATGTTTGTTTGTTTGTTTTAAATCAATGGCCTGTGTTTCATTAAATACCAGAGCATTTATTTGAAACAGCATACAAGTGACTTGCTGGCATTTATAATTTTTGTTACTGTAACTATCACAGTAGCACGTTACTCCCCAAAAGCGATTTAAGAAGAAATCTGCAGGCCTTGCAAATTCTGGACAGGATACAATGATTAAAAAAAAAAAAACCCACACAACACTACAGTCACAGAAAAGAGGAAGTCAAAGCAATGTAACAGGTCACAAGCAATCCTACTTGTAAAGTTGCTAATCTCTCAGCAGTACCACACTCTGGATAATTTACTTTATTTCCATAGCGTGAATCATTACTTTGCAGAAAAGGAGACCATTCTGTATTTGATATTTAGTTGCAAGCTGTAGGCAAGCTAACAAAGGTGACACTAAGATCTAATTACACTCAAGTTTATGATATTAGGGTTTTTCCTATGGTTTGTGTCACAATAATCCTTCATCAATGTCTAGTCATCTTACTCCTTTCACCTTGAAAATTTTATCTTGGTATGCTGTTAACATGGAAACTTAGTACCAAAGAGTAAGTTAATTTAGCTAGAAAAACTGTTAGTTTAAGCATGCTTAAACTATCTGAATGTAACACATTTCCAAGCAAGTTTCATGAATTTAAGAAAGGACAGTATTACCCCTTCTTTTTTGCCTTGCCAAAGCATCTTCCGCTTTTTTTCTTGTTCAGCAAACTTCATTGGATTCACTGCTGCTGGGTTGTAATAGCTAGGTACAGCTATTCCAGTCTCTGCTAGTGCTTTTGCTTGTAGTGCTGCCATTTGAGCTGCCATTGCTATCTGAGGAGTTACTTGCGTTCCAGATGCCAGAAGGGCAGCAACATTAATAACAGAGCCTCCAGTGGCTGCAGCCGCTGCAGAAAACAGTAACATGCTATCTCACAACAATTTCAGACTAAGAAAAACAACCAAACAAAAAACCCACTCTCACAGAACCCTCCCAGCTTCCTTCATTAGAAGTAAATTGGAAATGCCTGGATAAGAAATGCATGACAAAAGGTTTCTATTAAGAAATAGGCCTCCAGTAGTTTTAGTAAACC